AAAGAGATATTAAAAGACATTAGAATTATAACAAAATTAAAATACTAAGGTTTAAAAAACTAAAATATGTAATGGAAAAAAAAAGAAAAAAGAACTCATGAATATTAAAAATCAATCATGAAAAGTGTAAAGTGTAGCTAAACCTAATACAAAGTAGGAAATTAGGTTCTCATCCTATTTTTCTTAAACTCCATTGATTAAAATCTGATATCTATTCTTTCTTCACACATATTTTCTATATGTCGAGCATCCGTCGAGGTAACTATTAAATGTAAAATGTCATTAACATTAATGCCATCAAATACAAGAACAATGCAATCATCTATATATCGCTAAGCATAATAATCATTAGTGTTTCAGAAAAGCCTAATAATAACAACGTTACATTTTTAAATTATCACTATATGGTTAACATTTTAACACAATCTATTTTAGTTTACCCATTTTTAAAGTCACAAACATCATTACATTATGATGGCCTAATTGTACAATTTTCTCTTTGTCTTGAAATGGTGCACCAACATAAAATTAATTACATTTTAAGTAATAGCACCCATAGAATACTTAAATATTATTCTATTGTATTGAAGGTAGCCCACACTTTTTAATTGTAATTTGTATGTGGTATCCCGAGCATAAGATTTTGTACTTTTAAATTATAATATGTATCACCCATATTATACATACGCTTTACTAAAATGACCTCACACTAGCTAATAAACTGCGTAACTGAAACAACATTAGGCACCAAGTAATTTCTTAATTTAGTGCTTAAAAAATTTTAATTAATCTTAAAATGTACTCAATACATTATAAATAATTATCAAGAATTATATAACTAATGTAAGAGAAATTAACTCGAATATAACATTTTTTCTAATGAAAAAAAAGTTGCATACTTATAACACATTACTAATTCTAATACATACAAAGTTTTTACATAACTTATAGGTGTACAATCTTTTTCTTTGATTTGACGAAATATATCATAATAGTTAATACGAAAAATTTGAATGAGTAAACATTTACTAAATGTATTAGTCTTTCTCTATTTTTTTTGTTATATACAAGAAAACATTGAGCGTGAGAAATATTTTAAAATGGTGTGCGAAGCAAACTGTATTAACACTCCTTCACACAATGCACATCAGCCTCTTTTGCAATTACAATATTTTCTGAGGTTAAAAATTTTGATCGATGGCTCTAAGAAACTTGTGAAGTCTCCCCGAAAAAAAAGAATGTTCACCACATGTTCCTTAACACACAGCGTGATCAAATCGATCAACACCTGCATAATTCGACAATAGTATAAAGTAGTGTGTAAAATTTTGAAGTAGTAAAATATTTTAATACTCCTAACATTAGTTAATCTCTGTCTCCCACAAATATGGTTTTCTCTTAATTTAAAATCTCATTTAATATAATACCAACTATAATCCAGAGATACAATTTTTGAAAAATATTAAAAAAGCCAATGGTAGAAGACAACAGCATCTTAGTAATATTAGAAAGGTAAATTATAAAAGTAAAGCAAATGAACAATTTAAAAGTTCAATACTAGATTTAGTATCAATGAAACTGAGGAGGGAATCAAAAAGTTGGAAAACCAAAAGGAATAATCATCAAATACATAGTGCAAACGTAGTCAGGCGTTGTTTAATTGGCTGCAGTTGAGTCATTGTTTAAAGAATGTCAAACGCTTATCCATCCGCTATCGAGATTAAAGCCCCGACCTTAAAATGGCTTCATGGGGCGCAATCCAGAGACGCTCTCTTATTATTGTGATATCTTTCCCGTTTGGTCACCAAAGTATCAAAAACCCTTTTTTTAGTATAGGGGAAGGATAAATTATCTCGGTATATACAGCATGGGAATGAAATTATGAGCAAGAAAGTTTGTTTTTTTAATTCTATTAGTTTTTCTGGATCAAACTGGACAAAAACACACAAAAAAGTATGGGTTAAAAACCGACCTTGAAAAGTAAATCAGAGATCGGTGATCATGTGACATGCAAGATAGGCACAACAAATCGCACAACGCCAAATCAATTCTTCACACTAGTACATTTAAATTTTACCAAAGTTAGTCATTAACAGCTTGGTGACAAATGAACACGTACAACACTAAAAAAAAATAACCCCCATAAGAAAATGTCATGTGGATCGGCAGAAAAATATCATTTCAGTGATGAGATTAATAGGACGGTTGATTAGTTGCTGAGCCGTTGTTATATCTTTACCCAATGACATCATAGAATGCAAGTAGGTCCGAGCAATCAGCATCTCATTTCCTGGGCCAAATATGCTTCGATCCTCGGGTTATGTGTAAATAACCATAGCTGTGTTCTTTCTTGTTTTAGTCGTTGGGGCTCTGGGATTTCCTAGCTTGAAAAGGCGGACCAATGCCCCTTCACTTTCACACTAAAGCTTGACACCAAAGATTAAAAATGGTTTGTTTGACAAAGGTCAAGTGAGTTGTGTAAAAATGTTATACACCTTGGGAATTTCAAACCATTAATCGTCCAGAACACTTGATTTCTCATCAGTCTACAACATAGTATAAATGTTGAAAATTTAATTTATTGTTGTATCTTCAGTTGTAGATAAGAAGCTCTCATTCTCATATAAGAAAGAAAAAACTCAACCACAATTTAATTTCTCATATAGCAAAGATGGAAGCCACACACAGTCTAGAAAAACAAACTCAAACTTATACGATGATGATTCTTACATATAGCAAATGTTGTTATAATTACAATGGGGCATTTTTGCCTAATCATAGGGAATTTAGGCTTTCAATCTGTACAAGCGATATATTTGGAAGAAGTCAAATTAAATTTAAAATTTTGGTGTGTAAAAATGAATGATTTTAACCAGCTAAAAAGCTAGACTTGTATGCAAGTGGAAAACATATTAGAAGAGTCTAAAAGATCATTTCCTCTAAAAACATGCTTTACCCTTAAAAACATACTTAGTCTAAAAAACATGACTACCCTTAAATCATGCTTTACCAAGTTTGTGCCCTAAACACCACTGACCCCTTTAACTTATTATAAAACAAAAATGTCACTCTTATCTTATTATATTTTTTAGGGAGACTTTGGATGCGGTCCCTAGTTATGAACAGTCTTTGACTGAAACCTTATTGGTTTTCAATTTTTGATCCAAGTCCCTGAAATTAATTGATAATTTATTTCTATGTACGTTACTATATTTTTTAAATTAAAAATTAAAATTTATAGTTGTTTATAGTAATGAGATTTTAAATAAAAAACCATAATTTGTGGGATTAAAAATATTAAAATATAAATATACTATTGTGTGTGTGTGTGTGTGTAAACATGGGTACATTCATAAAAAATAACCAAAAAATTATTGTATCAAAACATGGGTACATTCTTCAAAATGGGTACATTTAGCAAAAATAAAAATGGGTACAAATAAATAAAAAAATATGGGTACAATACAAATAAAACTTTAAAAAATATGGGCACAAAAAGAAATTAATATATGGGTACAAATTAAAACTGAAAGGAAAATTGGTACAAATTAAAAAAGGGTTGCAAATTAAAAATGGGTACAAACTAAAAATAAAAATATATGATAAAAAATTTAGCCATAAATATAAATATAATAATTGTAACATTTTTAATATTAAATGAATATATTTAGAAATAAAAAATATTTTATTATTGAAATAATTAATGATATTATTAATACAAAGGACCTTGATCAAAAATTGAAAAGTAATAAGGTTTTAATCAATAGAGTAGTAAAAATAAGGATGAAAACCTAATTACTCCTATTTTTTACATTACATTTGTACCATATGTTTAATAAAGATTAGATCCATATGTGTTTGTAAATTCTACTAAATGATACAAATATATTATAAAAAAAATATAATAAGTGCAGTATTACTCAATTAAAAAAAAAAATTAGGTTCACATCCTTTTTTTTTTACTCCATTGATTAAAATCCTATTCATTTTCAATTCTTGATCAAGGTCCTTGGGTATTAATAACATCATTAATTATTTGAATAATAAAATATTTTTATTTTTAAATATATTCCTTTAATGTTAAAAATGTTACAATTAGTATATTTATATTTATATTTATGGTTAAAATTTTTATCATATATTTTTATTTTTAGTTTGTACCTATTGTTAATTTGCAAATATTTTTTCATTTGTACCAATTTTCTTTTCATTTTTAATTTGTACCCATATATTAGTTTCTTTTTGTGCCCATATTTTTTAAAGTTTTATTTGTGTTTGTACCCATGTGTATACCGTCACGTGACATTGTATATTTAATCAATGATAGAAAAATTACAAATGGTATATTTATGTTTTATGCCTAAACTTTGTATCATATATTTATATTTTTAGTTTGTACCCACTTTTAATTTGCAACATTTTTTTAAAATTTTTTAGTATTTTCTTTTTTAGTTTTATTTTGTACCCATGTATTAATTTCTTTTAGTGCCTATATTTTTAAAAATTCATTTGTATTCATAATTTTTAATCTTTTATCTGTACCCTAATTTATTTTTAATATACCCATTCTTCTTTATTAATGTACCACTTTGTTATATGTGAAATGTACCAATTTTTTTAACACTATGGATACATTCTTTTGCCTTTTATTATTTCTTATTTTTACATAGTTTTTATCCATTTATTCAATCAAAATGTTTGAATTTTTTTATTGTAACCGTTTCTAATAATATTATAATGAAGGATTTTAAATATATAGGATTATAAATCTCATAAAATATTAAACAATTAATGTTAAAACTATAAAAATATAAATATTAATTGTAATATAATGAGGTGTACAAAGTCAAGGGACCTTGATCAAACTTTGAATACTATTAATATTTTAATCAAAGAATGTTAAAGATTAGAGACCGCATCCAAAATATCCGAAAAAAATGTCTCGTATCACATACCTAATAAATCTTCTATTGATAAGGAGAGATCTCACACACAAGAATATTGTCCTTCCCAATAGCAAGCGCTGCAAAAGCACCTCACTATTAGACAGCACCATAGATAGAAGTAGAACTATTGAGTCATTTGACATTAGTGTCTTAGCTAGAGAGAGAGAGAGAGAGAGAGAGAACATCCCTCACAATCTCACAGTCGCTCCCCCACTTCTCTGAAAAATCTCAAGAGAGATTCATACATTGACAGTTCAAACGCCTCTCTTCAATGTTGTCATCAACAGGTAGTGACCAAACCAACTACATCACAACCGGTACTTCATCCAGGTCGTCCTCCTCATCCCCATCACCAGTTTCACAACCCTCCTCCTTCCAAACCCCACAAAGAACCATGGAAGAGGTTTGGAAAGACATCAATCTCGCCTCTCTCACTGAATCCACCACCCAAATCAGATCCTCCTCCTCCTCCTCACCGCTCCTTCACGTTAACCTCCCAAATGGGACCCACCGCCGCCACCCAAACTGCAGAAATATGACCCTTCAAGACTTCCTTGCCAGACCCTTTGCCCATGACTCACCAGCTGCGGCCACCGCCTTGGTATCCTCCGCTGTCAGCCCTCCCTCTCCTCTTCCTCCATCCTCCCTCAGGCCTCCGAGGTCCGGCTTCATTGATCATCATCAGCTAAACCCTAATAACCTTTCTAGCAGTGTTTCTAACTCTTTCAGTGGTTGCCCATTTGAGAGCTTGGCTGCTTCCTCCTCCGGCTTGCCTTCTTTTGGGAATAGATCGTTCACTGAATCTGATCACAGCAATTCCGGTGGAGATGGAAGACACAAGCGGATGATCAAGAACCGAGAGTCTGCTGCTCGATCTAGGGCAAGAAAGCAGGCATGTACCTCTCCTATATTCTTCCTAATAATCCCATTTTTGTCATTTGATTAGTCTTTTGCTTTTTGCTTTTGGGTTAGGGTAGTAGTGGGGTGGGTAAAGTGTTCTTTTATGAGTTGTAGGTTTTTGTACAGTTCCGTTTTAATTTTGCTCCTTCACTCTAAGGGCAGTTTAAGTAAGTGTAAGTATTATATATAAGAATCAGTCAACCTGAGATTGATGCTTTATAACATTACTGCTGCACTAGTGTGAGTTTAATATATTGGTATCGCATTCAAAATTTCCAATGTATTGAAAAAGTTATATATATGAGTAACATATTGGTATCAAACTCAAATTTTCCGGCATACTGAAAGACCTAATTAGCTTTATTGTCCTGCCTTGGCGTCTTAGTTTTATTGTCGAGAATGTTACTAAAATTTTTACTAAAAATGTCTTTCGTTTTTTGTTTGTGGCCTGATATTTGGTTGGTCCAAACAGGCTTACACAAATGAGTTGGAGCTAAAAGTTGCACTCTTGATGGAAGAGAATGCAAGGCTCAAAAGACAGCAAGAACATGTGAGAACATAAGACTGAATAAAATTCTATTTCTAAAACAGTAATTATACATGTATTTCTGTGATTTTGACTTCTGTTTGTTTGGTGGGAAAATGTATATGCAGTTAATTGCAGCAGCGTCTCAACAACCCAAAAGGCACAATCTCAATCGAACATCAACAGCTCCATTTTGAGAAATCTCAGTGCCTTGCTTTTTTGTTTGAATGTCTTCCTTTTCAGTTAAGACTTAAGAATAGTAGTACTAGTACCCATGTTGGGGGCATCAATATTTTGTGGTAATATGAAGATGGTGCATGTACCTTTTCCGTAAGTAGATGTTTTAGGGTTAGAATATTCTAACGATGACGTTTTTTGTATTTATGTTAAAAGAAGTAATTCCCCATTAAGGAACTTAATTTGGTGTGTACTCTTTTGCTTGCTTGTTTGTCTCTATCTTTTTCTTCCCTTTTTTTGGATTGAAACTTTTTTGCTCTCATTAACTACATTCAAATTACAATACAAGTCATGAGGTCACAAAGGAATGATTAGGAGACCTTTAATGGACTCTTTGTTACACTGTGTTTTTGACATAATATTTTATAATATTGAATCGAGAATTAACGTTAAACTGTGAGGTGACAGATTCTATGGAGAGTTTTAATTTGAGTCTCCTTTGTATTTCTTTTTTTTTTTTTGAGAGAAACACTGTCATGCAAGGGCACAACACCTTCCACCATTGTAATAAAGAGCCACTTGCTAGTATTTCTCTTCTAGGTAATGTTAGGAAGACTAAAAATTTTAAATCAAATTTACAGACCAAATAAATTGGTTGTTGATGATTGAATTATTACTTAAGTATTGATTAATGTGTTTATCTTTTATTGACAAAACGTCATTTGGTTTAAAAGTTTGATTTGTCTAGCATTATCCTTCTCTTAATAAATAATAAAAATTTGACCATAAATCTATTGTCACCATGTAATTAAGAAAACGATTCCCATAATATTCATGTAGAAACTACAAATAAAGAACACAAATAAAAGTTTCTGCAAACATATGAAACTGTAGTTTTATACGTAAAGAACCAAGTATTTCTTTCATGGAATTATTGAAGTGTTTATATCTAGGATAAGCACAAGAAGGACAATTAACAGGGTGCCAAGAATCCGAAACTAATTTGGGCCAATTGCTTTTTACAACTTATCGCTTTACTTAATCGGAATCGGATATTGTCCTGAGTTTGGGCTTAACATTCTCCTGATTGACACACTTTGAATTTTGATTCAACGGTTATAATTATTATAATTTTTAAAATGCCTTCCTGTTTGTAACCGTTGAATTCTTGTGTGTCGATTAGGAGGTTCTTGAGCTGCTCAGGAGAGGAGAGGATCCAGTTTCATCTTAATCAAAGCCTATGAGGCGGTTATACAAATTCTTTGTTTCTCACAAGAAGGACAATTAATGGTGGCTGCCATGGATGTCCTATGCTGTCGGTTTCTATTGGCATCCTTGGTCATTGAGTTACTTTGCCAAGCTGACATGATCCAATAGGAATATAGGATGACATAAAAGAGCATCATTGACATTGACATTGCCATTGTGGCTAAGTAAATAATGGAAATGGATCCTCGCCGGATTTTTTTTCTGGGAATCATAAGGATTTCGTGATCGTGATCGTTCATCGTACATCATATGGTCAATTTTCATTAGGTACTATTTATATTTAATTTTAAATTTTAAAATAATTTATGACCGCACGATATATGATAAACAGTTATAATCACGGAATCCTTAGGATCCCCAAGAAAAGGAATCGGCAAGAATCCTTTTCTATAAATAATCATTCCTGTTTTTTTGACAATCCATAAAATAATTATACTAAGTTCATTTAAATTATGTAAATAGAGATTTGAACTTTATCTAAAATATCTAATTTATGGAAAGAAAGATTTCAACTTGAGTGCATATAATGTAGAGCACATCTAATTTAACTAAACTCAAGTCTACTATAAATAATCGTATGTTTAGTTTAAGTTATATCCTTATAAAAATCAAATTTGGATTTTGAGTTTCTTGTGCATTTGAGAAACCCTAACCCTTCTGACAAAGAGAAACCCAACACATATTTGACCCAAATTTGAGATTTGAGTCCTAGCATGGATTTGTTCACAAGTGTTTCTTTAATGTCTCAAAATTGTTAATCATATACGCCTTATACGGTCTAGCTATGTTCGTCTCCCTATCAAGTATTTCTTTAGTAGTCATCTTTTTCATGGCAATTCACTTTTTCGAAGACTGTGAAGACTCAAAAAGACATTTCAAATTCTCTTCTGACCACTATCGTGTGATTCACAAACTTTATGAATTAAAGTAAAAAGTTTAGGTGTAAAAGTTACACTATTATTAATTCACGTGTTATAAATTGTATACAGTTGAATGACATGTCAAGGACAGAACCCTCGATTTTTCAATTAATAAATACAACATGGATGCATGATGATTACATCAAGAAATTCGTGATGTTTGTTAAACTGTGTACTTAAATGCAGTCAGTGAGTTTGTATAATTAGTGTGCGGAGACTTGTACATCTGATCCGTTGTCGTCCAGCGGTTAGGATATCTGGCTTTCACCCAGGAGACCCGGGTTCGATTCCCGGCAACGGAAATTTTTTATAATTATGTTCAATATTTTTCTGGGCTTTAATTTGGGCTTTGTCTTCTTTTCCACCAATTCATTTCTGGGCTCTAATTGGGCTTCAGATAATTTCTGTTCCTTTTTGGCCCTGAATGTTTGATTTCAATTTTTTTTATTAAAATGTGATATTCTAAAAAATAATAGTTGCTCTAAATTATGGAGATGGCGATTTGAAATCGGGTGCAAGGAAGCAGGGACTCTTTTTTTTAATTTTATTTCATTTTTGTTATGTGCCAACATGCTGTTACTGTTTCATTTTATAAAGCGATATTATAAACTGTTCTAATTTATCGAGACGGAGATTCAAACTCTAATAGTACGAAGATAGGAATTCGAAGTTGAGTACAAGGACATTGCTCTGACCAAGTAGCCTAAAATGTTGTTGATTTGCTTTTGGCTCTCTGTCTTTTTTTTCTCTCACAAGGATTCGGTGAGGAAGTGAATATTGTTTCTGTTTCAACTTCCACACAACTTTTAGAACCCAGAACTATGAAAAGAAGAAAAATATAACATAATCTCCTCAGTGAGCAACTCCACCACCTGAGACTTGTCAACTCCTCCCACCGGAAACCGGCACAGAGGGCACGTCATCCGGCACGCATCGAACCACTTATCCACACATACCTTGTGAAACTCGTGCAGGCAAGGAAGAACTCTCATGTCCTCTTCACCTTCCGACAATCTTGACAAACACACACAACACACCTCATCGTCCCTCAAACTGGAAAATTCTTGAGAAACAAGCAATCCCTCTTCCTCTACTTTCTTCCCAACATCTGATTCGATTGCCTCACGAGCACACGGAGATCCCTTAACTAACGCCGGATGCTCTCTCGGGCCGAAGAAACTAGAGATCAAAGCGAATGCCCTCTTGAGAACCATTTGGTTTAGTGAAGGATTGGCGTTTGGGGAGGTGTTTAATAGAGTTTGAAGTTGAAGGGAGAGTGTGAGAGTGATGGGTCCTCAGTTGTTTTGCGTGGGTTGCAAGGGTTGTTATAGCAAGGAAAGATTTCCCAAGTTCCTTCTCAAAGTCAGTTGCACCTAAAGAGAGTGTTACTCTTGACCTTTCTTTAATTTGATTAATCACAATTAGAGTAATAATTGGGTTTCCTTTCTCCAGCATATTGCTTCAATTGTATTGCTTTATAGTCAAAATGTTCTATAAGATTGACCTAATTCCTTACTTTGGCACCTGAAGTTTAAATCGATAGAAGTGGTTTTGGAGATTGTTCACCATTAATCATTTTGGTCTTCCCATAAAAATCTATTAAATTGAGGATATTTTTGTCAAATCAACCTCTCCACTTTGTGGTTTCTTCAATTTAAAGGAGATTTTTCACATAAGGACCAAATGATCATGGACCATTTCTGTTGATTTCAAATATCAAGACCAAAGTGAGGAGTTATGACAATCTCAGAGACCATTTTGGCTAATAAGCCTTTTCTATTGGTGTACAAGACCAGTTATTGGTCACTGTTCGATTCTTTTCACGTAAGAAGAAATTTCTCCTTATACGCGAATCATTGCACAACAAATATTAAAAAATAACTCGTTAAAATTATAAAAGATTTATGCACGCCCGTCATATTGTGATTTGTCTGTAAAGAAGAACTATTCCTTTCACTTCTTCACTTTCTGTGACCCATGAAATGCCTGGGTCAAGCTACTTGCTGGTAGAAGGTGAATTAATGTCAAAACTTTGTGAAACTTAGATATCAAAATACACCATGGATGACATTCATAGGGGACCTAACTCATACCAGACTACTCGATCAAGCGGTAACTTAATCGACAAAAATAAGGTAAAGCGGTAACTTTCACCGCCGCACAGTTTGAAGCATGATGTGTTTTTGCACAAACATAGTAGAACGAGATTGGCATTACCAAGAGAAGCATTTGGTAAGGCTTCAAAATCCGGTGAGGGCCGTGACAGCGACCGTGAAGCAAGAAAACCAAACACAGCTCAGAAAATGCGAGACCGGGAATGTTCAATGAAAAGCAAAAGCCATCCAAAACCATCTTAGACAAGAGAAACAACCTTTTCTCCATTTAACAACGGCTTGATGACAGGAAAAAATGCACGCCAGACATCGTTGTAACTTGTAAAAGTATACGTCTGCAAATGGAAGCGATGAATGAATTTATTCACCTCAACAGTAAAATTTACGACAACTCTCAGTACAATTGTTCATCTCGGAATAAATGTCAGACAACTTCCCTAGCCGAGTTCATCTCAGATAATGAAGCACATAATGATTTGAACGGTACTGAGTAACAAGTCATACATGAATTCTCAGGCATTTCCTCACAAATGGATAAAAATTGAAATGCCGATTTAAGAATACTTGGTGATGTGACCTTCCATCTACCAAAAGCACGAATAAATCGGTTCAACAAATGGCTTAAAAGAGATTGTCAAGAGGAGGCAACCTACCAAAAAAAATCGCAATAAACCCCGCAACAGTGACTCGGGAACAATACCACAAGTTTCACAATTTGACCTAGCGACTGCCTATTCAATCCGCTTCGTGCTTGTCCGACGATTCTGCAGAATCTTCAGGTTTAACTGTATCATCCACCTCGAGTGTCTTGCCATCTGTTGGTACTAAGCTCGGTATGCCATCCTTTATCTATCAAGTGATGAATACAATAAGGAACCATGTTAGACGTCAGCTATACAGGACAAGATAGAGTTTCACACAATCATTCACGTTCAGCTGAATACAACCGTTAGACAATGGCGATGGCATCACCATTCATTTATCACACAGAGACCGGAGTGATCTTTTATTTTTCAAATCATTTCCATGTTGGATAAACTGAACAGGAAAAACCAAATATACAGAACATCCTGCTGCCCAGGTAATTCATACTTCAGAAGAAGAAAAAACTAGCAACAACAACAACAAAACCTTATCTCACTGATTGGGGTCGGCTGTATAAATCTTAGAATGGCACTGCGCTCAGTTTTGCGCCAAGTCTTCCGTTAGCTCCAAATACACCATGTCTTTTCTTAAATCTCTTTTGAAACTAGATTACGCAAAATTGTAGCTAGGATTTTTAACATTCCCCATGGATTCCATACACTTCAAAACTGAAGTAGAAGGAATTATACAAGATACTAGCTATACAGGCAAAAACATATAAAGAAGATGAAATTTTTGACAATCGTTCATGTTCTCGCTCTTCCACACGGGACTCCCGGATTACTATAACCGAATTTCGTCTCTGTTCGGCCAGAAGGTCTCACACTTGTTCAAGTTTATACTATAACACTCATCAGTAAAATCTTAGCTCGAGCCTACCTCCGCACACCTCCGAGCCCAACACAAAACCTCTATAATATACAAAGGGCATCACAAATTCTCACACAGATAATGGGGTAAATCTCATTTTTAAAATTTTAACCAATTCCAAACCATTGATGGTGTCCAAACCGTGTCTCAGGCGTGTCTGTGTGTCTGACACTCCGACAAATCAGGGTTTTCAAGTGTCCATGCAACATAGCGTATATATAATATGTTCTACCTAGAAATTGAAAATTCAGAGAAAAATAGAATTACCAAAAAATTAATTACTTGCCGCATAAAACTTAGGAGTTTGGAACTCACAGAAAAGGAGACACCAATCGCATCACTAATTAAGGAATTTGTTTCCTCACAAAACCTATAAACCCAAAAGCAAACTAATTAAACCAACTAAAATTACCAAAAATTAAATAAATAAAACGGAGATTAAAAATAATACTTAGAGATTAAAGAAGAAACCTTATAAAATTGAGTAGCTTTACGCTTCCTCTCACCACTTCATCTCTCTCTCTGTTTGGATCTCTCTCGCGCTATAAAAACGCCACCCCTTGTTGCTACGTCACCGTTTTATAAAATTGAGAACGAACAATTGCATAAAACCACCGCGTTTCGGTTCGAATAAATCTCATTGCCTCCAAAAGAAGCTCTACGGAGCTACTGCACTTCAAACTACCAAGAGGGATCTCAATGTGCGTTAATGGCGAAAACCAACTGGACCTCGAATTCGGAACGATTCGTTTGGTAGATATCTCGACTGAATGGCAAGGGTTTGCACCCGAGAACTCTTTCGATTCCGGAGCTCTATTTCCCCACACCTCGCTTCCAACCCATCAAAATCCAATCTTCCCTTACCATCCTCCCCATTTTCCTCCTCTTCGTTCGAGCCCTCTGTCAACCGCCACATATTTTCGCTTCTGGATTCATGTCAGAGCTTGATCCAGATTACCAAACTCCACGCCCATTTGGTCACCCAGGGCCTTTTCGATTCGTTTTGGGCCCGGAATTTACTCAAGAGCTATTACGATTTCGGTGATTTCGATTATATTATATGGGTTTTCGGATACATTGACGCTCCAGGTAGATTTTGCGTTAATACAGTTAATACGGCCGAGATCTTCCCCCTCTTCCTCACCCTCAATCCGGAATCTTCCCCTTGATCACGTCTGCAAGACAACTGTGGCATGTTAGGCCACGTCCAGGTTGGGGGTGGGCAAAAGATGATGTTCGAACTTGGAAAATCTGCTAGCTGCGAGACACGGCCAGAATCCAAGCTGTACACTGCAATATCGCTTAACATGCTTCTTAACTGATGGAACTCGTAACTCTTGCTATGAAGAGCCTCGTGAAAATAAATACATCTCCCTTCCACTCCAGGGAAATCTTGAGTAGAAAGAGAGTAGTAACCATCATCCCCTATCACCAATATTCGATCATCCAGAGCTTGCGCCTCTAGCTTAACCCAGTGCTTCTCATGAGCGTGAGCGTCCTGTAAGTTCTGATAAGAGCTATACACTTGGTTAGCACTTGTTATTCACGTGGGAATATTCGAGATCATCATTGACAATGTTTGTGAGCTGATAAGGAATATGTATATTAGGATTCATTAGCTTGAACACTCATGATATTACTAGAAGTCTTTCTAGCTGATATGAATAAGGGAATTCATGGTGATAAGGTTAAGATCAATCAGGATTACTCAATGTGAAGAGTCCTAGTTCATTACCACTGTGTATGATATATATATTAGGGTCCCTGCATTCTCTCTAAACACTCAAGCTTACAGAAACTTAAACCCCATTCTTGAGGCCTTGCATACTAAAGAGGAGAGCTGTAGAAGAACTCTAATCCCAATGAGCATGTCACTGTCTTCAGGTAAGTGGTTAACTTGGTATTGTGATATAATATTCAGAGTTCATAATCATATTCAATATATGTTTTACATTTGGTATCAGAGCTTTCACATACCAACTAACCCTAAGGAAGAAAGTATAAGGAATTGTGTGAATTTTCAGATTAAGGTCTAATGGTATACTATACAGGAAATACATATATTCGAACATGGTAGCTAAAGCTATTTGTACCATGTATGTTTTTTATACAGCATACGAATTAGTATTGACACCATGGATCAAAATATAATCACTGATCATCTAAAGATGTTTTAGTTGTTTATGTATTGATTTCATAGTGGTATGATAGTTCATATACCAATATACAAACCCAATCACTTCTTGCAGCCACAAAGGTTTGTAATTATGGTTATAGAAAATCGTATGTTGGATGTGAAAGTGTCATGATCAAGAAAATTTTCATACAACTTTTAATCCGAAGGTTCTTGAGTTTGTGATATAAAGTTTGAGGATTAAAGTTTAATATAGTTCATGTTACATGATTGTATAGCCATGAACCCTAACTCCATGAACTTGAATACTGTTGAACCACTCATTGGGGTCAAATATAAGAAATGGAAACAAGACTTGAGATAGTTTTGGGTGTTATGGATATGGACCTGACACTAAGAACTAAGGAACCCCCACTGCCTACCGATGGAAACACTTCTAGTCAAAGATCGA